CCTTGTGTAAGAGTGTCCCTTGGTGGTCGAGTCAACCGGACGCAGAACTCTAGTGGAATCAATTTCTAAACTAGAGACTGAGGAGGTGACGGCGAAAGTGGAGTATCCGCGGGCCGCTTGGTTGAAATGTGCGGCCGATGCTGGGACTCTGTTTTCTTTTTACGTCGCCTTGCGAGGCAGCGGTGAGGAAAACTGCGAGACTATGTGTCTCTGGTTAGATTCTGCCGAGGCCGAGTACGACTCAGTTCAAGGGCCCTGGAGAGAGCTCGCCTTGAAGCGAGTGAGTGAGGAAAGATCTGCGGAGCAGCTCTTTTATATCCCTTCGATCGAAGCTTGATCGCGAGAAAGCTCTTCACCGCCTGCGCAACCTGGCGGTGTCTCCGCAAGCTCATAATCGTAGACGGCCTGCGGCACGTAGCGGCGCCGCGGCGTATTATACCGCGTCAGTGCAGCGGTGTGGCGGTGAGCCGCCACACCAGTTTTTAGCAATTGGCGGGAAAGATTACTCAAAAACTATTCGATCAATCGAGTTGTCCCTGTGTATACATGTAGTTTAATAATATAAATTGTCGATGAACCTATAAAATTAGTAAAATAATTAATTTAAACAATTTTTATTGCATAAATAAGGTGACATTTTGTGGGTCAAAATCGCAATTTTTTTTTAAAGTGTTGCCATTTTTTCAATTTTCAACTTTTTACTTATTTTTTAGGTTCATCGACTAGATAATTTCATAGAAAAGAAAAACTTTTTTTTGTTTTAAACGAGTGCAAAAGACGCTACAACTCCCGCCAATTCACAACTCCAGTGATGAGGCTGCGTCAACATTTGTTTATACCCGAGTCGAAATTTTTAGCCTAGATTAAACCTACAAGTTTTGTCGAATTTGGAGAACCAATGTAAGCTTTAATTCATATATATAGATATAACATTACATTGGCTATTGCCCTCCTTTGATACTAAAAATTGTTACTTATTGTCGTTTTTTCCATGTGGAAGCTCAAAAGAGTACCTGCTGAGAACCTCTAAAAAGGCTCCAGGTTCTATAAATATGTATTTCTAGAAAATAAATATTCAAAATTACTTAATAATCTATTATCTCATATACTCTACTTGCATTTAATGTATGGATCTTGATTTCAATAAACAATATATTAATTATTATAATTTGCTTAACTGTAAATAGGCTACTATAAGCAAATATTATATAAATAATATTTACTTATATGTTACACATCTATCTGCAGTTAAGTAAATTACATAATTAATGTATTGCGCTTATTGAAATTAAGATATGCATTAAATACAAATAAAGTAAATGTGGTAATAGAATATTAAATAATTTTGAATTATAGGTCAAATATGTAATAAAATATTAAATAAAATTTTGAATTTCAATTGTTTTTTATTTATTCAAATAAATTTTTAGTTATTTATAATACTAAATATAATACTGAGTTGCACTTAATTTTTTAAAATATTTTTTTTTAATATTCTTAAATAAAAATATATATTAACTAAATAGACACTAAATAAAAATATATATATTTCAAAATAAACAAACTTCAAATTACCCAGAAATTATATCGCAAATAAAATAAAAGTCTAAATCTAGAAAAAACAATAAATGACATAAAAGAAAATAAATTTTATATCATCTAGCTTTTACAATTAAAATTAAAAAATATTAAAAAACGATTTAGCTTTCGAAAAAAATTTAGCTTAAAAAAATATTACTAGAGATGTAGTTTATTAAAAAAATAATATGAAATATGTAGCTTCTCAAGTTATCCGTAATTTCCGTAATATGTGTAAATTTTTCCATCACGGATGTTCCACAGTTATCGCAAATCAATTTCTGAAAAGAAACAAATATGTGTAAGTGTAAAATATTAAATTAATAATTAGCTTTTGTAACTTTATTATTTGAATGTATAATTTATAATAAAAAAGATGTTAATATAGAATAAAAGATTATCTTATTGTTTAAAGATTGATATATATATTTTTCAATTATATATACTTTTTACTTTCTTCGGTGCGCGCTTTTCATTTTTTTCTTTTTTTGTTCTATATTTACGCTTATTCGACGCACACTTATTTATGCACTGTATGTATGCTTTCCGAGTAATCGGTCTTTCAGCTTTTTCAGTTGCCCATTCTATAAAAAAAAAAAAATACTACTATTGTAATAAATTATAAACGTAAAAAAATAAATAATGACTTATAATTAAAATTACGTACTAAATAAAGCTTTAAAAAGTACAGCATTAATTGCTGGTCGAGCTCCTCTTCTTCCAGTAGCAGAATAATTGGTGATGCTTTCATCATACACTTCTAGAAGAGTTTCTCGCACAAGCTTCTTCCAATCGCAGTTCTCATTTTCCGTTGTCGATTTTAATTCGATGTAAGCAATTTTCTCTCGAGATAAATAAAAGCCACTATTGGGTGATATCTCCACCTGTAATAGTTATTAATTACTAAAAATCAGTTAATCAGTTAAGTAAAATATGTGATGTTTTAAAAATATATGTTAGCAATTTTTTTACGTTGTCTCCAGGTTTCAGCATATGCGCCGGAATCTATACAAAAGAAAAAAAGATAAATAATATAAAATAAAAAAATTAAATATATTAAACTCTTTTAAAGTTTCTTACTTCAAAAATTTCTTCATTATTTCGATCGGCTTTTGCTTCTGCTTCGTACGAATGTTTAATTGCTACAAGAAGAAATTGCAGAAATTCAATGTCTCGTTTGGTAACTAAAACATAAATAAAAGAATATTATAATCAACATAATCTTAAATAAAAAAGTAATATAATTATAAAATTACGTTGTTAGAAAATTACTTTTAAATGGTATTAATCTTGCAAATGATCGTGCTGCATTTAAATTTTGCTCACTATATTGAGATTCATCCGAAAAATCCAATGTTGAATCTTCGCTATTATTCTGCATATTCTCTGAATATTCTTTGGTAGATGTGGATTCTGAACTACTCTCTTTATTTTTTCGCAATCTTTTTTCAGAGATAAATTTTGTTTTTGCTACGTTCTATAATATAAAGTGTTCTATTAGCTAGAAAATTGTGCGTAAAGCCAGGGGCACACGACACGTTTTTGCTTACTGGATTGCTTGCGAATTAGTAAATTACTAAAAATGTGATATGCTGTATGGTGCATTTTTAGCATTTCACTAGCTTGCAATCACTCCAGTAAGTAAAAACGTACCGTGTGCCGCTGGCTTAAGATACTGTAATATAATTATATGTAAGATACTGTAACAATTATTGCGTAAGTTGTCATCGTATTAATTGTAAGTTAATACTAGTTGTTATTACCTTTACTGTATTTTCATAGGATTGTATCTTTGTAGGATTTACACATCTTTCCGAATTATTATTAGACTTTTCATACTTGCTGCTTTTTACACATGATTGAGATGAAACACTCCCTATTTCCATCAAAGTGTAATCTGACTGCTCAAAGGGTATATTATTTTGAGACACTTCTCTAATCGGATAATTTTCACAAAAATACGAATCTGTGCTACTGTATAATTGGCTCGAAGAATTAGCATCCGGTTTCTTCCACTCTGACTGAGAATTCCATGTATCAGTAAAATTTTGAGAAGGTTTCTGAAAAATGATCAAATAAAATAGATATTTAATTCTTCAGATTATGGATTTTAATTACATAATAGTTTATTTTTTACTATGGAATAATAAAATTTATAACATTTTTGAGACATACATGAAAGTTTTCAGTAACTCCTTGATTGTCTGGCTTGTCTCTTCCATAAGTTTTCTCTTCTAAAATATTCGAAGAAGTTGGAAGGAGATATGACTGACTTTCGTTAATTGCTTGCTTAGGATGATCTCGTATATTTTCTGAATGAAGTCGAACTTCGTTGAGCTTTTCTACTTTGTCAGGTTTTATCCAAAAATTCTCTTTATCAAAGATTGGGCGATCTTTTTTTATTTTTTCTTCCATTTGTCTTTTATTTGATTTTTTTATGCATTTGCATATTTTTTCTTGTTATGTAAGCACTTGTCTTTCTTCCAATATTTCCGTTGAGAAAATTTTATTTGAGGGATCATTTATTATCCCGCAAGCATTGACAATAATATTTTCCAGTTCATCACGATTTTCTGAGAAAAACATTAATGAATAAAATTAATATTATTGTCAAAAAGATATAATACATGAGACGTATAAATCATTAAAAAATGTTTAAATTAATAACATTTTTATTTATTCTGTTAAGATATCGTTCTTTTTATGCCAAAATCATGAATTTGCAAAATTTCTTCAATCTCGTTTTTTTTGTAAAATTTATTTTGTTATTTAATTTTGTATTGTCTGTAGAATTTTAGAGTCTAGGATACCATGGAAAAACTTAAAATATTCTAAAGTATTCTGAAGCTCTATAAATTCAAGTAGTACAAAATAAATTTCACAAAGAAAAACAAGATTGAAAAAAAGCTGCACATTCATAGTTTTGGAATAAAAGGGACAATAACAAAATAGAGATTTTTTTATTCTTTTAAAAATAATAAGGCTACAATAAGTGTAATAAGCTTTAAGTTATAAGAAATTGACCAATCACAATTGATTATTTTTCTATGATTTATCTCTGAGTGATCAATTTTTTATGATTTAGGAGTCGGTTATTCCAACATCGGGTAACTTTAATTTTATTAGTAATTATATCTTTGTCTCTTTCAGATAAATTCTGAAAAAAGAGATAAAGATATAGTTACCAACGAGATTAAAGTTAGCTGACATTGGAAAAAAATCTATTGTAGACTCGGCCTATATAATAGCCTAAAGAGAGACAAAAGCAATATAAAAAATTTACTAATCGAATGACAAAAATATATGACGGTTTCTATAATAACTTTCCTAACAAAAGATCAAACAATCTTAATGACGGGAATTTCCCAGTCGAAAATGCATGTTTCTGATCAGAATTATAAAACAATTTTATTAGTTTCCAAGATATAATGGGAGATATCATTGCTATCTTTACAGGCTCTATTACTATTATTTTATAAAACACATATATGTACTTACCACTTATGGCGAGAACTTTAGCACGCATTTTGGTTGTTTTTCCTTTGTTATCACGCCATTTCACAGATGCAACACAATTAACTTCTCTGTTATTTCGCGGCAATACTAATAAATCGATCACATCTTTGTAGGCACTGTCTAACCACCATATAAGGGCGTATTTCTTTGGTTTCGGCATCACGTTTCGTCGAAAGTTTTACAAAAGTACAAACTGTTATAACTGATACGACGGTTATGATCTGATATGATTATTTTATGTAGTCACGCCACAGCCCGAGCAACGAACGCACACATATATGAGAATGTATGTATATGACTGCGCAGAGTGCTTTGCGCAGCACACGACACTCTCGCTTATATGTGTGCATAGTTTCCTCAATCTGACTACGCTACGTTCAGTTATCAATAAATGCTGGTAGTCGCTCAATAGATGGTGTTAATCTTGTCATCTATCTTTGTCGATATTCTGTGATTAAGAAAGATATTGTCCTCTTAGATGGAAAATAACCTTATTCAGTAAGGAGATGGAAAATAACCTTATTCAGTAAGGATTATAGATAACAGCGCAAAAGAAACATTTAAAAAAAAGAGTATGTATTGTTTTAATATTACTTTTTATATTATTTTTTTATATGGTTGTAAGCTGATATTCCATTTTTATTATAAAATTATCTTATACTGTCTTAAAATGCTAATACGTCTTTTTGATTGTTTTAATCGGTACTTAAAACGGTTTTAAATAAAAGAATTGATTATTAGCTATGATCACTATTGATTGAATTTACGACCGAACTGTAGATAAAGCATAAAACGAATTCTTTGTTACATCAATTGTAGAAATGTCAAGAAAAGCTTTTAGCGACCTTGGTCAGAGAAGACGGCGTCAAATTTTTAGAAAAATTTTTAGACGTGCCGACGCAGGAAACGAACAACAGGATATGCAAATAGAAAGATCATTATCACCTTATCAACGGTACGTTTTTCATTTTAACTCAATGCAAAATTATCTCTGACAAAAAACAAAATTCTTATAAATATAAAAAATAAACATAATTGTAATGAAATTGAATTAAACAACAAATACATCAATTAAATTAGTTAAAAAAGCGGTTATTTTACAATATTCCACTATTATTTATCAAAACTTAGAATTTTTTGTTTTGTATGTTTTTCAATATTATAGAGAAATTCACGACACTGACACTGAGGAAGAAAATGCTTCCAATTATGCAGACGACGACGAATATTACAATATTACGACTGAAGAAGAACAAACAGAAACAGAAGAAGAGTATGAGAATATGGAAAATGAAATAGAAGAGTATGAAGAATTAGCGCAAAACAATAACGACGAATTTTATGATGATCAGGCACTTTATCTGGGTGCCCCCTTGACTATTTCTCATAGTATGCTTTCAATTTTAACGCTTCTTCTTCATCATAACATAAATATGTTATGTCTCTCAGATATCATAACAGTAATAAATTTGCATTGCTTGCCTGAACAATTAAAAAAAAATAGCTTACATAAATTTAGAAAATACTTCTCTCTTAAAGATACATATTTACAGAAACATTATTATTGTTCATTTTGCACTAGAGATCTGAAATCAATTGAAGATATTTGTCCTTCATGCCCTAGAAAGAACAATTCATATTTCGTCGAATTGTCATTTCTTGAACAATTACGAGAAATGTACAAAAGAAATGGGTTTTATAATCAATTGCAAAAGCGTTTTGAAAGGATAGCCAATTTACCTGATGTTATAACTGATGTGTATGATGGGTCTTTATACAGAAAATGGGTTGATAATGGATTTCTAAGGAATCCTGATAATATTTCTTTCAGTTGGTACACTGATGGAGTGCCTGTCTTCAAATCCTCAAAAATTAGTATGTGGCCTTTATACTTAACTATCAATGAATTGCCTTTTAATGAAAGAAAAAAGAGAAAAAACACATTACTCTTAGGCTTATGGTACGGAGATAAAAAACCCAATGCAAATAGTTTTATATATAAGTTCCGTGAAGCGTTGGAAGAAATTAGTAAAGGTATTGAAATTGAAGTAAAAAGATATAATAATATAGAGTTAAAAACTATAAGAGGTGTGCTGTTAATGGGAACTGCTGATCTACCAGCCAAAAGCGATTTTTTGAACTTTGTTCAATTTAATGGAGATTATGGTTGTCCCTCGTGTTATTGTAAAGGTGAAAATGTTTCGCTTATTCCAAAAGGTTCTGTGCATGTTTATCGTTATAAAAATGAATTAAAATTAAGATCTTTAAATGAATGTATTGAATATGCTAATAGAGCAAGTCTTGATAATCCTGTTATGGGGATAAAGGGACACACTGCTTTCTCAAAACTTATGCCAGATTTTATCGAAGGTGTTGGAATTGACAGAATACATTGCGTCGATAGCGGTGTTGTGAAAAAAATGTTATCACTATGGTTTGATGTAAAATATCGAGGCTTTCCTTTTTCTTTATATGCTGTCGTTGATGTCGTTAATAGTAGACTCATTGCAATCAAGCCGCCGAAATATGTGCATCGTATGCCGCGCTGTATACAAGATTTACTTCATTGGAAAGCGTCCAAATTGAAAACATGGTTTTTTCATTATTCTGTTCCAGTTCTTGAAGGAATTTTAAGACAAGATTATTTCAATCATTATCTTCTTTTAGTAGTAGCAATATCCATGCTAAATTCTGAAGAAATCAGTTTTTTTATGATAAATATTGCTCGAGATTTTTTAAATAAATTTGTCCGTGAATTCGAACATTTATATGGATTACAGTTTTGCTCAATTAATATCCATCAACTACGACACTTACCAGATAACGTTATAAAAATGGGGCCCTTGTGGGTTTTCTCCTGTTTTGAATACGAGAATTTGAATGGTCAGCTTTTAAAATTAGTGCATGGAACACGGCATATTGAAACACAAATATACAGAGCGACGGCTCATGAACAATTTATAAAAATGATTCGATTAATAGATGAAATGCCTATAGGTCCTGTCCATAAATTTTGCTTAAGCAAGAAACGACAAGTAAAAATTATAGAGCAGATATTTCCTAACTGTTATAGTGTTGGTGCATATAAGAAGTTACAAAGACTACCAAATATTATTACCACTGCAATGTGTAATTCAAGAATCCCTGAAACTGTCTCGTGGTGGCAGTATTTTAGATTATTAAAAAATAGCTACTTATATGTATCGCAAATGTATAAAACAGATTTGCAAACTGAATCTTCTATTATACAATATGTGAATAATGAAGATCAAACACATCATGCAGAAATTCAATGTTTTATCAAAACTATTCATCAAAATTGCAATGAACAATTCTGTCAATGTGAACACAGAGAAAGACATTATGCGATTGCACAACAAATTTCAACTGACGATGCATTCCTTGTTCGTGGTGATTATAATGTAGCCGACACTAATTTTTTTTTACACAAATGCCACAAAACAGATAACTTTACAGCTATTCCTATTGAAAAATTAAAATGTGTATGCGTATATATGAAAATCGATAATCAAATGTACATAGGAATACCTATTAACCAAAAAGAATTGGAATAAAATATTTTTTACTATTTATTTGTTATTATTTATTTTATATTATAACATTTATTATATTAATCTGAAATAATAGAAATTGAACTCAATTATAGATTGAATATTAATATTTTTATTGCTAGAAATTTCGATAAGATTTGGAGATTCAAAAGAGGTAGGAGTTGTAAGAACGAAAGTAGGAATTGTATATTTAACATCAATAAAAATAAGGGTTTTCTAGGACAACAAGATTAAAGAAAGGCCAAAAGAAGACATAACACTTTCAAGATAGAACTTGTAGGTCAAGGAACATTATTAGAGGCACAAATAACCATGTATGAGGTTTATAGTAGGTTTTAAATTTCGACTCGGGTAGTGGCTCTATAATCAATTATTTTTAAACAAAAAAATTTTTTTACTTTTAATATATGTTATAAAACACTAAAAAGTTTAAAAAAATCCGTTGCATTGTTTCTTAAAAAAATTCCTAAAAATCACCTTTGTTTTAGCGATTCATACGAGGCTCCCCCCTTAATAATGGCTTTAATTGAAAAATACTTTGTATTGACTGACAATCAGGCGACAATTTGCATTGTAGGATCACCCTCAGAATAATAGTTTGTATATTTTGAAAGATATATAGATTATAGAAATTTCAGCTTTTTTCAGATTTATTTTAAATCAAAATATAGGTATAATTTATAATCAGATACAGACATTCAATTTCTGTAAATGTATGTTTCTTGCGTCAAAGATATATGAATGTTTTTATTCTTTTTTTGTTAAATATAGTATGAAACTGTGATTTTATTTTATACTATTATACAGCCTTAACCAAATAAGGCAAAGTACCTGCTGACTTATTGTATGTATTTTATATATAATACCAGAGATTTGTTATATTACCTAAATATAAGTAGAGTTGAGAAGTTGATATCAATTAAATGTACCGGAATGTCTTTGCTATAATGGTACGTACAATTTATTTTATCCAATCGCATTGAACATTTAGCTACAAATTGATGGATAACGTCAAATTTTTTTATTTCTTTCCTGTTTATAACTATGAGTAAGAATGACTATGAGTTATATCTTTCAAAAGACGTATCATTATAGAAATGGCAGCATTTTATATTCTAAGAAAAATGTATCTTTCGCATATAACGTAATTAGAGATTCCAATTTGTGCAAAGCTATAAGATGCCAAAGATACTTTTATTTTTTTCTGTAATACTTTTACGAATATGTACTAAGTGCTGTGATAGTTTTATACTTCTAAGTAATATAGGTCATTTATATAAAGATACAGATTTAATTTCTGCAAATGTATGTTTCTTGAGCCAAAGATATTTCAATTCTTATTTTTCACTTTAAACTATTGTTTAAATAAATATTTAAAATATAGTGTGCCGCATTTTATATATTTAGTATCAGTGCTTCGTTTTCATTTAAATATAAGTAGAGAACGTTTGGTATCTCACACATTTGCACAAATTAATTCATATGTAATCGATGACCGTTGTAAATGTACCGTTACATCTGACTGTCATAGCTGGAATGATTACTATTTATTATATCCAATCGTTGCGAATATTTAGCTACAAGTTGATTGGCAACACACAATTTCGCATTCATTTCTTCATTACGTCTTATTAGAGAAAACCGTTCATATTTTCTTAGAAACGTACTGTTATAAAAATTCGCTCATATAATTACTCTAAGTAATTACGATTGACATACAAGTTAACATATAAAGATTTTACATTGAACAAATGTACAAAATGTCGAGATACTTTTATTACTTTTTTTAATAATGTAAATTGCTCTGTAATTTCGTGCTGTATTTTTTTCAAAAGTATAAATATTGTAAAACATTTATTTCTTGTAACATGTAAATAAATATTTTATATGAATGCTGCTTATGCCTGATGCAGTTATAAGCTAAAAAGTTCAGAAATTGTTAAAAATAAAACATTTTTCTACCTAAATAATAAAACATTTTTTTTTCATGTCTCGATAAATTTTTCTTACATTTTACATTGACAGATCCAACCTAACCTAATCTAACCTTTCAATGTCATTTTTCTTTGATTTCACGCACTTTACGTATATTAACCGGTATAACACTATGAACACACTATGAACACACTTAGTTATATTTTTTACAAATTGTTCTTTATTTCTCACCATATATTACATATCAAAACGAATGGTACATATATCGCATGCGTCTTATTTCACTTTCTGACAAGTGAAACCGTGTGAGCTTTTCGAGCGCGGTATAGCTCGTCGGAATCCAGGTTCGGTCGGTTGGGGGTGTGTCAAAGAAAATGCGTTTAGTTAATGGTAAATTAGAAGACGTGTTTATTTAATTTAGTATGTTTGATGACTGTGTGTGTACATGCGATGCGAAAGAATTATTAAGCAACGGCTGAATAATTATTTGAGCTAAGTAAAATACATATAAAAGGATATATCGGTGAAATCAGTAACAGAATATCGGTGAAATAATTATTTGGCAATGGCGAAATAAATCTTGAGGCGGCGTGGAATAAATATAAAGCAGCGTGAACGTAAGCGAAGTATCGGCGGTAGCGGAATAATTATCTGAACAACGGTGAAATAATTATTTAAAAGCGGTGTAAACTAAATACAAAAACGACGTGAAAATAAATGTGAAACTATAAAGAATGACGTGAGGCGTCCCGGTGCGGTCGGCGAGAGCGCAAGCGCGGGCGATCGTGTCGCAACGGTTGGTACGATACGGAGCGCTTGTCGGTGAGTGCGTTCGTAGTATCGCGAGTCTGTTCGATCGTAGATTGATGCGGACTATTCGGCGGCGCAGATTGGTCGACGTGGTTTTGCTTGCCGGACGGATTACGATTTTGAAATCCCGGCGAATAAACGCGGTATCAGGACTTAGGTTGCCGATTACGCTCGGCGGGAGTACGAGGATGCTCGTACGAAGGCGGAATCTTAGAACGGCGACTTAGCTTGGTATGCGGAAATGCCCGCAATACGAAGTTCGGTGACCTAGAGGAGCCAAGTACGCTCGGCGGGTATACGAATAGATTCGTATGCGGGAATCAAGAATACCGAGGACGCTCGGCGGTACACGAGGATACTCGTGTGCTGGCACAGGTATACGAAAAACCGAGTATGCTCGGTTGAGGACTACGAGGACACTCGTAGAGGGATGTTCGCTGTCTATCAGCGAACGGAGTCTGGTGAGAAGACG